TCTCTGACAGCTCTTGGGTGGATTTGGTCTAACGAAGTGTAGTGAAGCATCCTCTGCTATTTCTAGGTTGGGTCTGTTGGCACCTGGGTGGAAACGCAAGCCGAGAAACAAACGTAACCAGTTGGTAGGTGGGCTTGGGCTTTCAACCAGCCTGAAACCATAGCCTGGTGCCCAGGGATGCGAGGGACAGGCTCCAGCTCGGGCCTGGCTGTGCCAGCCAGGCATAGATGATTGCAATTAAATTATAGAGACGTCCCTGAATTACGGTTTGGTGCTTCAGGGTTTGCGGCGGTGGCTCTGCACACCAGGCTGAGCCCTCCTGTGGGGTGCTGGCTGCCCCCGAGTTTTTGACCGAGATGTGCTTCGCATTCCCTGGTACCCAGGCATCCCTGGGGGACCAGCACAGCCCTGCTGCGTTCAGCTCCCACAGTGGTTCTGACTGGGCCACGCTGCGTTTGCATCCAGCCCCAGCATTGTTGCCTTCTTCCCTCCCTCCCCTGCTGTCTCCTCGGAAGGGAAAGCTGTGGCTTTGCCACCCCTGAGGGCTGGATCCGTTTCCATAGCTTGTGGTCACCGTTTTGGTGTGCAAAGGGGGGAGGCCTCGGAGGCTGCACGTGCTGCAGTCCCACCAGCCGGCTGTAGTTAACCAGGAACTCTAGGTTCACTCTTTGGTTCTAAAAATGTCTCTGTTCCACTCTACAGGCACGATTTTGTAAGATTGCTGCTCCCAAAAATTGAAAGGTCAGTTGGTCTGCACTGCTCCCCCAAAAACATCTGTGGGTGCTCAGCTGCCTGGGACGCGGTTGTGTTTTCACACCCTGATATGCCTTGTTCACTGCTGTGAGTCTTCTCCCTGTGTTCGCGTGACCCCATCCAAAAAATCTGGACACCTGCAGTGTTTCCAGTCTCCACTCCGTGGAGGGAAGGGGAGTTATCCCCACCATGGCATCCTGGTCTTCTGGGTGCTTGTAGCTCTGCAGAACCGGCTGCAGAATCATCAAAAGGTGGCAAATGCTTGGCGCTCCCTGCATTCCAAGGGATGTTTCTTTGATTTACCCAGCAAGCTTTAGCATTCCTCTGTTGATTGCGTGTGCATCCGTACAGTGTGTGGATGGCTTGAATGGTGGCGTGTGGCTGGGAGGATGCAGCAGTGGCAGAGGTACAGCCTCTTGGCCTCTCTCTGGCAGCTCCATGCAGCTGCTGAGCACCAGGTCCATCACCAGCCCTGCTCCAGGATCAACTCTGCCCTCTGGGATCGCCAGCATCCACTCCCTGTGTATCCCTGGAGCAGTGCACAGGCCTGCTGGGTCTATCTGGGCCTGGGGAACATGAGACATTCGCAGTTCAGCCTCTGCAAGGGTTATTTAACTTTGTATGCCTGCAGTGGAAACACGAGTCTCCTACAGATCCCTTCCCCAAATCCTCGATGAGGACTGACAGCCCCAGGGTTTTGGGTGAGCCCACAGCCCGCGTTGCATCTCCTGCTCGCAGCTGACCTGGTTGCAGCCGCGTGGCATCCGTGCAGCGTTTCTAAGCCCTCGGTTTGCTGGCAGCCCCTCGACAGTGGCGTTTCGCAAAGCCTGTCCCACAGCCGTCCATGCAGGGCGTCCAGCTGGCTGGAGGAGTGGGGGGCTCCCCGGGGGGCTCCCCGGGGCTCCCCTCCCCGCGGGTTGCCTTTCATCTGCTGCTTCGCAGATGTTGGGTTTGGCTCGTGGCTGATGTGCATCAATTACAGCACAACAGCCTGGAGTCTTTGGCAAAATCAGTGCTGGAGCAGCTGTCCTGAGTCGGCCTGCTGCCCGGGCTGGAGCTATGGGTCTGCTCCCACTCCGTGCAGTGCTGCCCTGATGGTCTCGCCAGCTCCCGTGCCCACGTGGGGAGGGTTTTCCAGGCAGAGGAGGTCTAAATATGGCACAGGCAGATGTTCCCGCCTGCTTCGTGTTTATCCAGGAATACGTGAGCTGGAGGGAGCTGCAGGCTCTGGGGTCTCTGCCCCCATCAGCAAAGCGAGCAGCCCCTGCGCTTCCCCAGCCTCCCTCCTCACGGGAGGGACAAGCAGCTGTGTTGGGATGGCACTGGTTAAGCCATGGTGCGTGAGGTCTGATCCTGCTCTGCCCAGGTGGCAGTTGGGAATTTCGGGCAGTATTGGGTGTTGATTAATCCAACTAATCCAACCCTTCTTACAGGAAGATGGAAGGGTCGGCTCAGCGATGCTGGCACCATCCCTGCAGAGACCACAGCGGGTCAAGCAAGTACAGGATCTGCCCGCAGTGCAGCCACTACTTCTGTTCCAATTTATGTCTAAAATCTTTCTATTTTAGACAAGTGTCTGCCGGGAGTGCTCCCTGACACCCGGCACAGCATCCCCATGTGCCTGTGCTGTGGAGTGGTCCTGCAGCTTGCCTGCATCCTGCCTCTGCTGGCACAAGCCTCTTGGAGCCAAGTGGGATGCTGGAGTCCTTGCTAAGAAATTACCAGCTTGGTGCTGGGAAGCTAAGAAGAAAAGTGAAGACTCTGCTGGTGCCACTGGGGCATTTGTGTCTTTGCATCCCTGTTGTCCTGCAGATACTCCTACTTGCAATATATTCATTTTTATCATATTTTTTGCCAAGCAGGAGCCCGGTGCTAGAAGAAAATGTCCTTTAAATTACTTTTTCCCACCAGTGAGCTGAAGCTGTGTGGGCCATGGTGCCAGCTGTGCTGCTTCAGAGCATCCCGGCGGCAGCGCGCCTGCGTGCTCCGAACCGCCGCCTGCCATCTCCCCGCTTCCTGTGGCTTTTGTCTTCCTGGGGGCAGCGGTGTCCCAAGCCCTCCTTCTCTCACGGAAGGCAGTATGGTGAGGCAGCACGTAGCATCTGCTGCCTGTGCTGGGGACAGGTTTGCCTGCACGTACGTCCCCGTGCCCAGGGGGGTCAGCCCCTCTGCACGCTGCTCATCTGCAGAGCTTGACAGGCGAGCAGCAGCCAGGAGGTGCTGGAGGTGCTCCTGGCCTTTCTCACAAGCGGAGGGTGGCTTTCTGCTCCATTTGTTTCATTTCTTAATTTTTCTCTGCATGCCTTACCTGCACTCATTTCCCAAGCAGCCGTCGCGTCCCGTGGGGCCAGCACTCCTGTGCGTGCACGCGATGCCTGCGGAGCTTAAAGCCATTGCATAACCCAGCGCTGCTGCCCGTGGCAGCGTGTTTTCCGCGTGATTTATTTTTTCTAGTGGTACGTAGGAATTTTTTTTTTTCCCGCTTTTGGCCTACCCATTTTGGAACAGGGCTAGTGTGGGATCTGTGGCGACACCTCGGGTACGCCAGGCGGGTCGGCTGTGCAAGGGGCAGCGTGGCAGCGCGTTGCCAGCTGGGCAATAGCCTGATCCGTGTGTGGCCCGGGAGGAGCGTGTTGCCGTGCGTGTCAGCTACGGAGTGTTTGCAGCTCTCTGAGTAACGCTGGTCTGCACAGCCAGGGATTGAGGGTTGGAAAAAAGTGTTCAAAGTGACCCAACAGTCACTGGGATCAGTTCTGCGTTTGCTTTTTACTGTATTTTTTTCTGCTTGGCCTATATTTGAGCGTGTGGCAGCGCGCTGTGCTCGCAGGAAATGAGCGCTTCCGCCTTGCAGACCCCGTCAGGCTCCGGTCTGACGCTGCTCCTGCCTGTCACTGGAGGAGAAGGCAAGATGGGCTTTGGACCAGCCACATTCCTACAGCCAAATGCCTTTGGAGGGAGGGAGAGAAAACCAGGCAGCACCTCATCAAGGGCCAGAAATAACAGTGGGATGAGGAGACGAGCTGAGAGCTATGTTCCTGTTTGAAAGAATGAGGATGAAGAATTTTCAATAAGTCCTTTGCAAATAATAATGTTTTTATTAATAATAATATAATAAATAGTAAAAATTAATTACTAAGCATTGCAAAAAGCTTTAACAAAAATAAAATGCTTGTTTAGGCTGGTGGTGGCAGGGACCTAAGCAGCAGCAGCCTGGGCTGGGGAGGGCTCTCCAAAGTGTGTTTTCCTAAAACCTGCCTCTCCATGCCTGCATCAGAGGAGCTTGCTGTGTGCGCCTGATACCTCCAGGAGCTTGCAAGGACCAGGCTGACCTTGTGCATGCCCACCTTGTAGCACACTGGGGCTGTTTGTCCTTCCCTGTGGCAGATGCTCAGCCTGGGGGAGTGGATTGTTCCCCAGTTTTTGTTATGAAGGTGTTAAATGAGGCAGTAAGCGTCTGTTTGCTTCTCCTGAAGTGCTTTGCTAACCTGGGGCTGTCTTGCTGAGGAGACAAGCGCCCTGTCTCTGAGGGAAGCCAGAGGGTTTGGGTTCCTCAGGCAGATACCAGCAGAATTAGAGCAGGATTGTGAAAGCTCGGTGGCTGCGTGAGTGTTGTCTGGTGTGACCTGTTTTGATGCAGATGTGTTGGGTTTTTGGCAAGAAGTGAGCTGGGGCCAGCAGCCTCTGCGCCGCGTCAGCTGGAGCTCGAGGAGGTCATGTGTTGGTAGAAGCCAAGGGCTCTTCTGAATCTGCAAAGCCATTCAGTTACCCGAAACGTGGCCGCAAGGCATTCCCACCAGCGCTCTGCATAGTGCTGTAATTACAGCGCTACGAGGAGTGGGCAGGCTGTGTAGGTCTCCGAGTCTCTAACGGCAGTGCCCAAGCACAAGGCTGTGTTGCTAAAAGCCTTCGTCACTCACTAAATAAACTCCTGGACTTATGCCGAGGACTTTTCTCAGTGCTGGGTCCTGCTCCACAGTAGCGGATCGGCTGCTCATGGGACGTGGTGTGCCTGCTCACCCTGTAGCAGCATCCCTGTGCTTGGTGATGTGGGCAGGGTCAAGGTGAATCCAGTAAGTTAAGAAGGGGAATCCCAAATTTAATGCAACTACAGGTGAAGGAAGATCCCACATGGCCTCCTTCCTCTTAGCCTCCCGATGTCCTGAGTCCCCACATCCCCACACATTCCTGTTTCGATGCAACAGGCAGCTCCTTTCATTCATGCCAGGAGCAGTATCCCTGTGTGCTCGGCACTGCCTGCCACCCCTGACCACCCTCTCTTTGCCTCCGCAGGTCCAGAGGCAGTTCCCAGCCACGCACCCAGCATGACAGACGCTCCACGGGATGCCGGCCCCAAGCAGCCGGTGCCGATGCGGCCGGAGAAGCCGGCTGCGGACTTTGGCTATGTGGGAATAGACGCCATCCTGGAGCAGATGAGACGGAAAGCCATGAAGCAGGGATTTGAGTTCAACATCATGGTCGTGGGTGAGTTCTTCCCCTGCGCCAGCTGCCTGCAACGTGCTTGGCGAGTTGTTTTTGTTCTCCAACGATGTTTGTCCTCTCTGGACCCTCCTCAGGAGCAGCAGCTTGGGGTCAGCACTGGGGTCTTTGCCTTAGGAGTCAGCAAACCCCGCTCCCGAGGAGCTGGCTTGAATTCAGCTGTCGTTAAAGCTGGTGACGTGATGTGGCCTGTGGTCCCATGCATCCTTCCATGTCTTGGGGTGCATTATCCATAGGCACGTCTCAGAGGCGAACACCCCGAGGGGTGTCAGGACTCACTGAAGCCTTGCAGAGAGCTCCCTTGCCCGCTGTTCTGAGAGCCCTGTGCTGGTTTGAGCAGTCAGAGAATATGTTAGGGCTCAAAGGGTCACACCGTTGCTGGTGTATCAGTGCCCTGATCTTTGCTGGCCTTTCCAGCAATTTGGTTAAAATTCCTGCTTGTGAGTTTTCTTATATTTAAGAAATTGTGCTGAGCAGCTCTGACAGCAGATGCAACTGCACTACAAGTACTGGGGAAGAAATGCCTCATGTGACTTGCTGGTGGGAATCAAGAGCAGCAAGAGGATTCGCGTAGCTTGGTGGTTTGGTTTGAACAGCTTCTGCTACCGGTGACGCCTCTGGGGACCCCAGTGTGGCGTGGGGGAAATGAGAGTGTCCTAGAGGGTGTCCACATGCAGGGAGGGAGGGCTGGAAGTTGTGTGTCCAAATCCCGCTGCCTGCAAGCTCCTGTTCATCAGCTTTTCGAGGCTCCAGGGTGGATGGGATGAAGGATTTCAGCTAGAGTGCATCGCTGCTGCTCCGGCTGAAGTTTCTGCTGTGGTGGTCTGTGCTCCCACAGCCCCTGGGCTCCCACTGCTGGGGACTCACCAGCAAAATGCTGGGTATACCGGGGAGCTGGGTGGGCACCATGAGAGGCCATGCAAGGGGGAAAAGGAGTGAGCCTTTACTGCATTTTTCCAGGTATTGGTGTCTGGCCTGGTCCTGTGGAGCTCTTCGTGTGAGCTGGGCTGTGCTCCCCGGGACCGGGCTGTGTGGGCAGCAGCTCACCCTGCCTGTCTCCCAGGGAGGGTGGTATGGTGGTGGGGTCTCACCATCCTGCTTCTTCCTGCAAGAAGTTGAATAGGGCTGAGGGTTGTGCAGGCATGCCCATGGAGTAGGAGCCCCCATAGCCCTGGGGTGCTTCCTGAAGTTACAGGAGGGCCTGATCCAGAGTTTGCTAATTCTGTACAAGGTATTAGTGTGCTGTAGCTTCCCGGCGAGCTTTGCTGATGCCCTGCCTTTCCCATTTCGATATTTTCATACACTAATTGATCTATGGAGAGGGCTCCCTGGGCTGGAAGATCACTGCAAACCTGGTCACTGCAGAACTAGTTCTTGCAAGGCTTTTTAATAAACCCAGGTCTTTGCTGCCTGTGGAGCAGCATTCCCAGGATGGAGGGATCCACAGCACTGATCCTAAGAGTCCACAAGCAAGATCCCATGACCTGAGTCCCAATTTCCCTGCTGGAAGAGGCACCCATCCCTTGGTGAGCAGGCTGTGCTGCGGCAGCCCCTCGGCTTTCTGCTTTGCAGATGCAGAGGGATGTTCGGGAAAGGGCCCAGCTTTGCCTTGGCAGCGCTGTGTGTGGTATGAAAGTCTGTGCTGCAGCACGGCTGGAAAACATTGTTCTCCCCTTGGCAGGCTCTGGGCTGACTGTTTACAGGCTGGGGAATTCGTGGCAGCATAAACATTTCAAGCTCTGGCTCTCCCAGAAGATGCAGGGAGGGATACGGGAGGAGCAGCACCTCTTGGGGTGCCCTTGGGGAGGAGATGCTCTGCTGATGCTGGCTGGCAGCAGCCAGCCCTCATCCTGCTGCATTTCTCCAGTGGATGGTTGAGCTTCTAGGGGTTAGTTTAGCTCCTTTATTCCCCTGCAGTCTAAGATGTGAGTCATCGCATGGAAATCATTGCAATCCCTGTTTTACAGGTGGGAAGTGCAAGAAGGGAGGTGACTTCTGCGCGGGAGGTGGAAATTGAGCGTCACTGCCTGCATCGTGTCCTCATGATAGGGCTTTTTGAAAATCCTCTGCCCTGGCTATAAGGGTTTTGCCAGCCTAACTGAAGCTCTGAGGGGAGGCTCAGGCTGAGGTCAGCTTAGCCTCACATTGTGTAAAGCTGTGGATATAAGAAAAAACGTCTAAGCTTAAAAAAGAAGCCAAAGCACATCCTTTGCATGCAGTTTTTGGTGCAGAGCAGCTAGAAGGAGAGGAGAGCTGGCTGTGCAGTGAGGCTCAGCTCGTCTTTCCCTGCCTGATACCAGCTCAGAGAAGTGCAAACCAGGGGAGGTGGGAGCGGGGCTGTGCGGCTGCATCTGTCGCTCGGGGGGGGGAGACGGCG